TTCTCCTATTACAAATTCACAAAATTAGCGGATTTCTTTCCTCGTTTACCTGAATTTCGACTTTTCGTATTAGGAACACATCATAACCGAAGAAGTGGCAGCGAATGAAATCGTGCCACCATCTCGCTCATTATGTTCTCCTATTACAAATTCACAAAATTAGCGGATTTCTTTCCTCGTTTACCTGAATTTCGACTTTTGGTATTAGGAACACATCATAACCGAAAAAGTGGCAGCGAATGAAATCGTGCCACCATCTCGCTCATTATGTTCTCTTGTTACAAATCCACAAAATTAAGAATTAAATTTTAGTATGAGAAACATATAATGAGCGAAGAAGTGATACTAATTTTTGGCGAGAAAACGAAATTTCCCGACTTTTCAACTTTTGACTTCAGAAATACGTAATGTGTGAAAAGGTCGCAGAAATAAAAACAATTAGCTAAGATTGAAATTTTATTTTTACTTATGTATTTTCTTATACAATACAATATAAAATATTCAATAGAATATAGTATAATTTAAACGCACAACAAAAAAAAATAACGGAAAAATATAAAAACATATATAAATATATAATAATACATCCAAGATATGTCTAAATCGGTGAGGGACACTTCCATGTTTCCTCGTGAGTTACTTGCTTGGTTGGTTGGTTGGCTGACTGAACGGCTGGCTGCTTCGGCTCTCGATTACTTGAAAAACCGGATTCCTCTTGCGCGAAACTGTGTTTCCCGTCTTGTGTTTATGTACCAACACACAGCCGGGGAACAATGTTGGTTATTCGGCTGCGTGTGTATGCGCCACGGCAACCGCGTTTCTCCGTTACGCTTCGTTTTGTCTTCGATCGGCCCAGATTCTTGCGCCATGAGATGCCCTGAAGCAGAGTAAACGCCGCGATTATTTAACCTCTGTCGTGGAAATTGCGTGAGAATTATGTGCTACTTACGTGCTCCCGAAAAATGTGAAAACATTTCTGAAAAATTCTGCTCTTTCGCAAAATAACAATAAATACGCTAAAAAAGTACAATAAAAGCGGAAAAAATGATTGAGTCATCGCGGAACTTGGCAGGCGGCGTATGACTAGGCCGGACTTCTACAACTTTCTATCGAACGATAAATTCGGTTTTTCGAACGTACACTTCATTGTGAACAAGTCGGGCCTTGTGCGAGTCTGTGGTCTAAAAGCCGCGATACTTGCATACTGTTGCCGAGGATGCGCGCATTGGGAGCTTGCGATTACGCGTGCGGAAATTCGAAGCGGACACTGAAGCGAGCAGCGCCGGTACTCGAAGAGTCGCGATGTCATCGGCCGGAGGGTCGGTGTTCGAGGGTTAAATCCAAGGGTTTTGGGGGAGTCGCGAGGGTAAACATATACCTTGGCGCAAGCACGCGCGCTCGTGCAAGCGTAGGCGGGCTTACGGTGAATCCGAGCGAGCGGCTCTCGGCAGACTTCTTCGTCGTTTGGTAAGAACAATGGCGGGAAACGCGGGTACGTCGAGGATGATGGTACAAAGGGCATATTTTCCGAATAATTTCACATGGCCCTCCGTTCGCCGTTAGGTAGTTGGCCGACCGAAAGAAACGTGGAGAAAGACGAAGAGAACCGCAGCGAGGTCGAGACGAAATCTTGCGAGCGACTCGAGGGGAGAGGATATTTTCGACGATCAAACACGAAACAACCGTTCGCGTCGTTCCGCATCGTTACGCAACGTTTATTGCCACAGACAAGATTCGCGCGCAAAGCCAAGTTTGCTTGATCAATTCACACTCGATCGATAATGCGCTTTATTTTATATTAACGCGTTCATTCACATAAGTTTCTTTTTTCTATGCATGTTACGTATATCTTCGAATTATACGGATGAGTATAATGCTGTCGTAACAATGGATACGAAGAGGATAGTCGAGTTTATGATGCTTAATAAATTCCGCCCGTTGTGTATACGTATGTGTGTGCGCGTATTGGTGTGCATGTGGCTCAACCTTCATTCATTCCGACCGTCGTGGCGGCGAGTCGTAGGACGAGGGAAAAGACGTGACGAGACCGACGAGAGATACCGGGCACTCATTTAGCCCGGCAATTTATTCTCGCGTTTTGTAATTAACACCAGGAAAGAAGTAGCAGAGTTATTCTTCTCCTACGGGCACGGGACGTGGCACGGGTGGAAGCGACTACTCCGGTCAGTCTGCCTCCTCCCCCTCCGTCATTTCGCTTCGACTCGCTCCACCTTCGACTCTTCCTCACGTGAAGAAAACGTACGTATCACTATTAAGCGTCAGGGCGGTTGAGGCCCGGAACCTCCTGGACCAACTCGAGAATGAGAAATAGAAGAAGAAGAAGGAGAAGAAGAAGCGAGAAGGAGGAGGCGCAGATGAGGGAGGGAGAAGAATGGAAAAGAGACGGAGGAAAGAAAATGGGGGTGGGAGGTAAGAGATGAAGCGGGGAGGGCGAAGGAGGAGGATGATGGAGGCCTCTCCTCTGCATGCCACCGCAGTCAGCCCCAGACAGAAAGCGGTCTGTATAATTATGGGTTGTCACCTCATCAGCTCCGGGAGGGGCCAGGGAGGTGGCGGCGTTCGTCCAAGGCGCGGGGGTAAGGGCGGCGGGTTATAGGAGTGCAGTCTTTAGCTCAAATTGTGTTTTATCGTCTCTCGCATTTGGCTCTGGGGGTCCCAACGGCAGCGACCGGAGGGTGATTCAGTCCGCCCGGAGCGTCTCCGAAGGTGTCCGTTTCTACCGGTGGTGGACGTCGCTCGCGCGAAACAGGCAATGAGTGCGAGTCGAGTTGATAGACGATCACCGCGACGCGCCTTCGAAAGATGCGTCTCTGTGTGTGTGCGTTCAGCCGAGGGGTAAGAGAGTTGCGCGTAGAGCGTCAAGGACCTCGAAACGTCTTCATCGATCACGGGATTCCGACGCCGCGTGCATTGTGCCCGGTAAATACGTATTGTCGGGGCTATAAAGTCGCGAAAGGTGCGTTTTAGGTATCCGGAATGATCGGAACGTGCCCCGGCGGTCTCCCCCCGCTTTCTTCGGCGTCTCCTTCGCTCCCTCTCGCCTCGTGTCCCTTTTCTCCTTGTCTCGTCTCTGCCCACCCTCTCTCGCGCATACACGTACCAATCTGCGCGAGGGCACATATACAAAAAAGGGGCACTGCGCGAGAAGGTACTGAGGCTAAGTGGCGAGTTTAGAGGGATTTCATTAAATCATATGAATTGGGGATAATGTATGTTATTGAGCGGAGCGTTCAAATCGCGCTCTATAAGTTGTAATAAGTCCAATTTTAGGGCCGGTCATGGGCCGGGTCTCGCAGTGGTTGTCGAGCGATTCGGTCGCCCGCTTGCCGACGGCTGCCAATTCGCCCGCGGCTGCTGCGGAATGACAATCACTGGGACCGGCGAACCCGCCACTTACTCGTCAAACGGCCAGCCGGTCCGCCGAAATCACTGCCATTTAGATAATTTGTAATGAATAGGCACCACTCATTCCATACCCCTACTACCCATCTCTCCCTCCTTCCCTCCCCGCTCCTCTGTCTCTCGCGACTTAGGTCCCAAAAAGACGCGTCCGCCAGTTGGCAGTTGGTCCTCCGATGATAACAGTATCGCTTATCCGACATTGGAGAGAAAGACGGATGCGTCATTTATTAGACGCTCCGGGTGCCTATCATGGGACTGTGCGGAAAGCTCTCCGATTGGAATCGTTCAGTTATTCCCTAGACAATACTATGGATATCTAGGGAATAATTGAGCGATTCCGATCGGGAAATCTTCCCGAGCATTTCCATGATAAATTCCCCGAAAGACTTCCTCAAAGCGTAGCTGCAGTTATTACACAATAAACTGGCGCAATTGAAAGATTTATCATAGCAGACTGAAATATAGGACGTATACTTATAACTATAATCTAATGACGCTAATGAGACTATCGACCGTTCCGAGAAAGACGCGATAAGTCGCGGCGAAACGCTCCGGGCGAAACGACGCGGCTCCAACCGAGCCACTTAACGAAGAATGCGAAATTCCATCCTCGCAGAAGCGGGAAGGAAGGAAGGAATGACCACGGCGAGTTTCGGGAACGCGTGTACGCGCGAACGGCCGCTCGAAGAGATCATCGCGACGCACGCACGATTCGTCATCGGGGCGCGTAAGACCGTCGGCGGAAACGCATCAACGTCGGGTGGCAGCGTGACAAATAGCGGGCGGTGGCGCCGTGTCGTCCTTTTCGCGTCTCCCCCGCGAGACAGGGAGACACGCGTCGAAGGTACGAGGCATCGATCAAAAAACGTGACTGCGCATACATTATCACGCCGCGTTGCCGGTTGACGAAAGAGCCGGTCGCGCGCGTCCTGAAAAATCGAGGATCCCGGGCGGCAACGGCGGCGACGAGCCGCGAAGAATAATACACGCGCGCGTCCGATATCGAATATACGGGAATAAGCTCGATATACGGGCGGTAGTGCGAGAGAGAGAGAGGCGTCGATATAGCCGGGCGATGAAACCCCAGGTCGGCGGTCTACCCGGGGCCCCACGGATTCGCGAGCGAATCCATCACGGTGGCTTGCTAAGGCGTCGCGCAAACACGGGCCTAGCGGCGCGCGAATCAACGCGCAGATTATATGCAGAGGCTGCGCCGCCTGTTGTGATTGATATTTGGTTAAGCTGCCGGCGATCCATCAAGCCCGCAAAAGCGCTCTTTATCCTTTGCTCGCCAGGAGCTACACGTCTCACCCGATTCCGTTGAAATCCGGATACACGCCCGTTCGCCGGAGTTCGGTCTCGCACCAGCCCGCACGCTCCTACCCCCCCCAGCTCGGTTCTCTCGCCTCACGGCCGCGAAAGGCGGAGAAAGATCGATAATTGAATTTACGCGGTTTCTTCGCGGAAGCCCGGGGTGAACGATCACGATACTTGCTCGCGTATTCCGTAATTCAAGTCGCGCGATGATAAGGAGGAGGTTGCTTCCCTGCTAAACGTGGTGTATATTTTGCTTGCAGACGTGCCGAGAATGGAAAAGTCACCGCTTCTGGCGAACGGATACAATCATCCGCCCACGCACCTGAGCCACATGCAGTTCATGCAGCTCGGCGGGCACCCAGGTGCAGGACACACCGCCATCCTGTCACCGGCCAGTCTACCGCATCACCTGCAGGCGCAGGCACAGGCTCGTGCCGAGCAGGGCCTCAAGGTCAACCCGAATATGACCAACATGGAAGCCCTGGCGAGGTGAGTCTCTTTCAATCTTTCTCACACGCGCACACAGTCTTCCTTCCCCTTCACGGTTCGTCTCGCAATTGTCGCGGTGTCAGGAGCGACGAGAGACCGCGAGCGGTCGCTCTCGCGTTGCGAGACGATATTCCGGAAGCTGCGTGTCCTCGCAGCGGGAAACATTTTCATTAACTTCCTCCCCGTGCTTTACGAGCTGGCCGGGGGACGAGTTGCGCCGGATGAGATGGTAATGGAGACGCGAAGAGAAAGATAGAGAGAAGGAGGAGGAACGAAGGGAGGCGGTATTTTGGGAAAATCAGGATTCGCGAGCAACGGACTCGCTTCTCTCTTTCTCTCTTCGATTTTGCGCGCGAATTGCGAATCGGCGACCCGCCCGGAAATTGGATTTGTCCGTTTGGAGTTCCTCGTGAAACGTTCTTCCGCTGCGACGCGCGCGTCACGGCCGAAGAGGGCCGGCGAGGCCAAAAGAATACGACTTTAAGAGGATTGCAAGAGACGGCGAAGCCGTGGAAATCCGAGGGGGTCTCGACACCGCTTGATCTCTTCCTCCATCTTACACCTCTCTTCGTTACCCCTCGGTTCCCCTGCTTCTATTGTCTTCGCGCTTTTCTTCGACTTCACTTTCCTCGGGAACTCGCCGTCCGTCCGACTTGGATTACATTTCGCCGAGGAATGTATCGTATCAGCGCTCACTCTTGTCTTCTTGTATTTGTTGTTTTAATTCCACCACAAGACACGTGCTCCGACTCTCTGTAATTAGTATTTCTTCTCCGGAAAGAAATTGAAGAGAAATTCCGATAACTTGGAAATAATTTCAACGCCGAAAACGGTGGTATAAAACTTAAAGTCAATTGTACGGTTAATTAGTTGTTGGCGAAAAAATAGAGAAAATTAGCGGCGAGTTAAAATAACGACGATCAACCGATGGCTGTGCGTCGAGGAGTCGACTGAACACGCGGGGAGGTTCGCTGCTAAGATACTCCTATATTAGTGGAACAATTTAATATTCATAAGAATTACAGAGTTTTTAACTGGAATTATCCTCTCTGATACTGCTCACGTTTATACTCATCATTTTACGTTAACGTTTAGCAAAGTCGATTCCGAATCTTTTCAAAGACGGACTTGTTTTTAATCAGATTTTATTCTAGTCAAGTTTAGTTTGACTTCAACTTTGGTTTAACTTATTGCAGTTAGGTGTAGTTGTCTACTTTGTTGAATTTCACGAAACTTTATAACGTAATCATATTCTTAACTCAAAAGTTTAAAGAGAATTACCACGATGAGACTATCCGCGCGCCGCTTCCGTTCCCAAAAAACGACGAGAAACGCGATCGTTCGGTCGCAACGATTGGTGTTCTCGCGAACCTCGCATTGTTCGACTCGCGTCACAACGCGTGCGACATTATTCATGACTCGGATCCACCTTGAGATTCTACGAGCGTTTGTCTACCCTCGCCGTGGCGTTAGGCCATCTTTGAAGACGCGGAGGCCTCCTTGGGGCGGCAAATCCTCGCGGCGTTACGGTCCCAAGACGAATATCGCGGCTTATTCGGCTTCGTGGAGTGTGGAGAACCGCGAAGAAGCGAAGAGAGAAAGAGAGATAGGCAGAGGAGCGAGCGAGTGAGCGAGGAGCGGCAAAGGAGCATCTCCTCGTCCTTGCTCGAGGGGGCAGACACGAGAGGCTAATCCCGGCATTTGTTAACGCGTTTCTAATAGATGCTCTCTCGGTGCGTCCCCGCTCGTCGCGAGAGGCGCTCCCACAGCCACGGAGCTTTCGAGGATACGGAGACTCGCCTTAATTTTCGATTACATCCGCTCTGTGTAATTAGCCCCATCCTACTAACCATCACACCCCTTTGCCCGAGCGTTCGCTTTAGGCGGCGCGCGCCCGGAAAATCGGGACTTAGCGGCGCAGACAGAGGGATGATGCGATAGTTTCTTCCTTTCGAGCGTCGCTGCGATCGCCTCCGTCGGACGAAATTTCGCGACGCAGCCGCTCACGAGCCGTAAACGAACGACCGGAGGCGCGAGGGGACGGGAGGAAGGCGAGAACGCGTTAAGAGAGATAATTCTCCGGTCGCCGTGGCAGATAAGTGTACGGCCCGCGTGCGCTCTGGACGCGAAACTCGTCGACACGGCACAGGGCAGGATTTTTAACGCGGGCCGAGCGCGCTGGATTTTTAACGCGTCTCAATCTTTCTTAACGACGCCGCGCGCCGGTGAGCAGCGTGTCTACGTGTAAGGGAGAGGTGTGCCGCGAGAGAGTGTGTGTGTGTGCGTGTGCGCCGTGGACGCGCGTGTACACGCACACGCGCGGCCGTGTATAATGACACGGCGAAGGCGGCGCCGCACGTTTCGCATTATGATTTCAGCGCTTTGCTTTTAATTAAAATGCAAATCTATCGCGGCGGAGGAGCGAGCGAGAGAGAGAGAGAGAGAGATTGAGAGAGAGAGAGAGAGATCGGGAGGTAAGACGGATTACGTCTGGGGGCGCCACGACAAACACCGGAATATGATTAATTCAACGCAACCCCATCCTGGGACACCGACGCCACCGCCGTCACCGCCGTGGCCCCTCGTCCCACCTCTCCTCGCCATCCCTTAACTCGCCGTATCTCCTTCTTCCCTCCCCCCGCTTCTCCACCGGCTGTCCCTCGGGCCTTTCATCAACCAGCCTGACCTCTTCGACCAGAGTTTCCACGGACGACACGTACTGCGAGACGGCCCTCTTCCGCTCCTCGCTTTTCCTCGCGCCTCTCCCGGCGCTCAAGTCCATTTTCCTTCCGTGCAAATACGCGGACCGTCACGAAGCCCGTGGAAACCGTGTCAGCCTCTATTGACATTGGATTCCGGGACTTTGTCTCTCCGTCGGCTGCGAGAGCGAGGGAAAAAGAGTGACGCGTCCGTCTTTCGGAGCGAAGGGTCCTCGTCACGATCGATGACGGCTGATTTCCGTTTCGTTTTTATACACCGTAAACGAAGATCCGGTCCCTCCCTGATTAACTTATCCATTCTCTCCTACCTCTCGCCGAGCAGTCGGTGCTCTTTCTTCTTCTCAATCAACGCGCGATCCTAGAGTCACAAATTAACTCCGCTCCCGCCGCGCTGACGTCTCTTTTTTAATCAGCGACATCAAAGGCTCTTCATTCCCGGTGCGTTCGACAACGACCGAATCGCGTCGTAGCCGAGAGAGAGAGAGAGAGAGAGAAAGAGGGGGGGGGGGGACGAGGACTCTTAATCAGGCGTGTCCTCTCGCGCGAAGAGCGATGTCTCGCGTCCGCCTCGCGACTTGGGCGATTTCTTCCGCGGCGCGAATCTCCGCCGTTTCTCCTTTCGTTTTCCCTTGGTTCGCGCCGTTCGGCTCTTTCTTTTTCCATTTTGTCGTAACCGCCTTTTGTTTTGTGCTCCACAGGTCCGGGACGGTTTGGGAAAACTGCCGAGCTGCCTACGAAGATATTGTCAAACATCTCGAAAGGTAGGACAAATTCCAGACCGCACATGAACTCTCGCGAGATCGAGCCCGTGTGCGCGGCGTTCTCTCTCTCTTCTTTCTTCTTCCATGCGGAAACGATCCCGGCCGCGCTTCGAACGCGGGAGAGAGAGCCGGTGAGCCGCGGCGAGGTGAAGGGGGTGGGCTTCGCGCCCGATACCGTTCATCCGTGAATCCGTAATTCTCGATTAGCCGGAAAAATCGCGCGCGTCACGCGCGCACGCTCGGCAAAAATACAAAGCGCGGCGGGCCCGATGACGCCGCCGCCGCGACGGCCTAGTCCGGCTGCCGCGCTTCCGATAAATCAGCATTACCCGGAGGCAGGTATCGAGTTTCCGGTCGCGCGACAAGTTGAGTCCAGGCCTGACGCAGTAATGCCAACATGATTTGTACGGTGCGAGAGCTCGTAACCTCCGACCCCTCCGCGCGTCCTATCCGCCCGTCCCCTATCCGCCGCAAAATCCATCCGACCGACCGGCCTCACCGGGTTCACCGATACCAACACACAGAGCCCCGGCGTCGCGGCCGAGAGCGAGCCACCGAGGTTTCCGCGTGATCCTAACCACTTGTCACTTCACGGCACGCAGATCATCGTCGCGACGTGCCCGTCCATCATTCGGGGATTAAATCATTCGAGCGCCTCCGAAACACTCGCGCTCGTGCCTGCCGTAGCCCCGAAAGGGTTGATTTCGGAAAGGGGCTTTGCCCGCCACCACCACTACCACCATCATCACCCCCTCCCACGTCAGCTTCGGGCGAGAAGGGTGTGAAGCTTACTTCGTTATCGCTCTCCTTCGGCGTCGAACTACTTGACTGAGGTTCGAGGTTTCCCAACGAGAAGTAAAAATGTGGAGTCGCGAGGCATCGACGAAAGGGAGGAGTCGTTGGGTGCGTTGCTTACTGATTTCGACGACGAGCTTCGGATGTGTCGGGCGGTGAAAAGGAAAAGATTCGGTTTTATGCGCTTATCTGCACGCTCAGGGGTTGGGACAACCCCTCCAGGCTAATTGGAATATTTAATTTCCGGCGAATATCATCGAAACTAAGTAGATGTACAAAAAAAAAAGAGAGTATTTCACGCAAGCTTTATGGTATTTCATACCCTTTACAATGGTGTATCCAGATTTTTGTATAAAATATTTTTTTCCATATATTCTCTCACAGTTTCGATGATATTCGCTGGAAATTAAATATTCCAGTTACCTTCGAGGGGCTGTTTCAACCGAACGTGCCGATGAGCGCGTAAAAAAATACGGATCTTTTATATTTTTTGCTGTTCCGCAACACAGCCAAAGTCCATCAGAATCGCTGAGAGACACTTCTGACGGTTGCCTCGTGTGAGGACGAGGAAGAGAACGGACGCGAGAGCGAGCGTAGCAGCGAACGAACACACGACTTCTCGACACCCGGAATATCTTCGGTCTCACCCCCGCCTTCGCCTCGCTTCGCCGAGGCGGACACGTAGGTGACGGCGAGAGGAAGAGAGAGAGAGAGGGAGAAGAGCGGTCCTCGCGTTCATGGTGGCGGCGGCGGGGAGCTGTTAATATGGGGGTGAAAATCGACACTTGGCCGTCCGAAACGTAATTTCCAATTCAAAGGCAATGACCACTGGTCGAACCCCGCCGACCACTCTCGGCCCCCGCGCGTCTGCGCCGCCCTTTCTCTTTCTCTCTCTCGTTCTATTTGCTTTACCGTCGACCCCACCGTCGACTTCGTCAACCGGACAAACGCGTATTGTGATTTCAGCCTTTGACTGGTGGCCGTTCGATGGATATCGCAGGGGGTGGTAAATGGGCACGAGGCCACGGGTTCTCCGGTGGACGCGGGGACGTGCGGTGTCGGCAAGGGAGGGAATGAGGGGCCGCGAAACGAAACGGACCGGAGCGACGAGGAGGGTGGGTGGTGGTCGGCGCGGCGCTCTCGGTGCGTGGGAGGGGGCGGACGCCGGCGAGCGCCGTGAATATTCATGGCGAGAACCCTAGACGAATTCGGACTTGTTGCGACTGACACTGATGTAAACCTTTGTTTATCCTGCGTGGCCCACGCGCGTTCGTTCGTTCGTTCGTTCGCTCGCTCGCTCGCTCGCTCGTTCCTACCCTCTCGAGATACGCGCGGCAGCAGCGCCGAGGGCGATCCCGCCGCACGGTCGAGTATTTAACTGCGAGTTAAATTCTGATTAATCGACGGCGTTGGCTTTATTAATTGTTTGTCCTTTTGATTTTACAAGCTCACGAAATGTCGGCCGAAGACTGCGCCCGTTCCTTTTCCTCGGCGCTTNCCCCCCCCCCCCCCATCCCCCTTTACTGCTTCGTTTTAATCCCGATGATTTGTTCGCGCTAATCCATTTGATCTGCCCGCTCGGAGGAAAACTCTGACTTCCCCTCAAGTCTATCCGCCAGTTCGGCCAATTAAATTTCTCACTAATCTCGTCTCGCGGCGAATCCGTTTCGGAGAGTTTATACGCGCACGTGTATACATGAACGCGAGAGCGAAATTGCGTTGGAACGCTTTTTTCCCAAACATATACCATTGCCTTCTCATGCCTACTGGTAAGGAGAAAAAACAAAAAAAAAGGGAAAGAGTAAAGCGGCTGCGAAATCGTCGTTTTCGCGTTTTGGCACCGTCGTGACTGCACCGATCGATCATTTTCTTCGGCGCGAGTGATAACTATAGAGCCGAATTTCGGCTGTATGACTGGCGGATAAGCAGTCGTTACGAGCGGATGAAGGCGAGAGAGCGCGCGCGCGCGCAGGAGAGAGAGAGAGAGAGAAAGAGAGACGCGCGCGAACTTCCATCGCGCCCATCGACCCTCGCGCGCGCTGCTGCGGCCTCCGCGCGGCGTTATGAAGTAAGTAATATTAATGGTTCCCCGCAGTCAGAATGTTCGGTATCAATGCGCTAATGTCGGCTTCCTGGCTTTAAAACTACCCAGTCATTCCGGCATAATTCACGCGCATTGTCTGTCGTCGTCCAACTACCTCCGCCATCAGTTTCGCTGCCTTCCTACGGGTTCCTTATCGTCGGCATCCCCTTACGCGCGCTGCCTCCGCATCTCCATACCCACCACTCCCCATGGCCCGTCCTTTCCCGCCTTCTCTCTTTCTCTCCTTCTCTCTCTCTTCGACCTGTCCCGAACTTGAGCCACCCTCCTCGTTGCACTCGCGACGTCATTAATTACGGCGACGACGACGGCGACGACGTCCTATCGTCCAGGACATCTGCTGGAAAATAATATTCATAAAGTTGAGCCTCGTCGTTACGATCGACTCTTTCTACTGCCTTCTTCCTTCTCTCTCTCTCTCTCTCTCTTCCTCTCTCTTTCCTTCGTTCGGTTCCGCTTCTCGCTTCTTCGTTTTCTCCTTCTTGCGCCGCCAGCAAGATGGTAAGCGGCGACGTCGCCCATTTACATTTACGGTCATGGTTTCGTGGCCGCCGAGAGAGAGAGAGAGAGACCGACCGTCCACAAAGAAGTATAACCGAGGATGGACGCAAAACGGACACGTCGAACGTGTCGTAAGGTATTTCACTTCTTGCCGCTTTGATAACCGCGTGCGATTACCGCCGTCGACGTCGAGTCGCATCACGGTGGAACGGCGCGATCGAGATTATCGCAGTCATTTAGTATAACACTTAGCTCGATGTACGATTCGTCGCGGTTCGATGCGCGCATTAATGGCTTATCGATCGGAGCAACGAGAGAGGTCCCCGGAATAATTCGGAATGTCGTTATTCTTCAATTAAACCGTGTTCATCTCGTCGCTCGTATCAACAGCTATGAAGGATGATCATCTTCGCGCCTTCGAATAAGAAAGACGATCGACGTGCGCTATTAGATTTGTTCGTTTTAGCCTCGTGCTAAATTGCACTTTTCCGCACGGAATAAAATAATTTGGAGGGACAGCAATTTTACGCTGTCGTAGCAAATAAATATATAGGATGTTTCTTAAATACTGTCCAATATAATAAGAGTTGATTTTTTAAGTCATCTTATGAAAGAAAGTTTACATGAAAATATGTTCTTCGAAAAAATTATCTCAAAGAATCAACTCTTAACACATTAACGGCGGGCGATCTCGACGACAGTATGCTAGGTAGCGCGGCGGCCGCCCGCCTCGTTTTTCGGCCTAGAGCGGGCGATATTTTGTGTGATCATAAAAACTTTAAGGTACAGTCGAGCTAAATCGTAGTAACTACGACTCCCGCCTTTAAGCGGCAGTCGAGCTAAATCGTAGTAACTACGACTCCCGCCTTTAAGCGGCAGTCGAGCTAAATCGTAGTTACTACGACTCCCGCCCTTAATGTGTTAAAATATCGGACTGTGCTTAAGAAAAATACCCGGTATATTCGCTTATTCGCTACGACAGCATAAAATGTGCCGTCTTTCTAAGTGATTTTTCTCCGTGTGTGCGTTAAAGAGTGAGACGAATATTGCAACGTAGCATTGAAAGGAAAAGGAACGAAGTACCAGTGTGTCAGAACTGGTTCTAAAACGAACAGGCCTATTGTGAGCGCGCTGTGCGACGCGCATCACCGCAGTTCGCGACTCTGATCTGTCACGTCCGGCCAGGACTCAATAACAAGACGTAAGGCTAATCCAACGCGAATTACGAGAAGAAGGCTCGCTCGTTCGAGGCGGAATGAGCGCGGCGCTGAAAAATAGCGCGGCCGCAACGGGACCGGCGGTCCCGGCTGTCAAACGAGCGCGATCAGCTTCACCGTCTATCGCGCGGCTCGCGACGAGCTCGGCGAAACGGTTAATTCGACTCGGCGATCGCGCGGACGATAGCCAAGCCGCGCGCGCTGCTCTCCTCTGACTGCGATCACGAGCGGCCACGCTAATTGCGTTCAAACGAACTGTCAGCGCGCGGACAGGCACACGCGCAAACACCTCTACGGAGGCGGCTGTGGTAGCGAGAGAGGCGCATAGGGCGGCCGTGCGCGACGTGCGTGCAAATACGCGCGCGCATTGTGATTAATACCGTTTA